TATCAATACCTGAACAGTTCCTTGATTTTCAGAAGAAATACGACAAGAAATACGCGACTCTTAAAGAGATAAATTATAGATTTTCTATTTTCATGGAGAATATGAAGAAAGCTGAAGAGTTGCAGAAACATGAACAAGGCAGCGCTATTTATGGTGCTTCTAGATTTGCTGATTTACACCCAGCAGAATTCAGACAGTATTTAGGCTATAGGCCAGAATTACGCGACGAAAATGCCATTCCTTACGGACCGGCAAAGATTCCAGAGATTGACTTACCCACTGAATTTGATTGGAGGACGAAAGGTGCTGTAACACATGTGAAAGATCAAGGCCAATGCGGCAGTTGTTGGGCTTTCAGTGTTACCGGTAATGTTGAGGGGCAATATGCGATCAAACATGACAAATTGTTGGAGTTTTCCGAGCAGGAACTGGTTGATTGCGATAAAATGGACGAGGGATGTAATGGTGGTTTAATGGATAATGCGTATAGAGCTATTGAGGAGTTGGGAGGTTTAGAATTGGAAAGTGATTATCCATACGATGCAGAAGATGAAAAATGTGTTTTTAAGCCCTCATTGACTCGCGTAAAATTATCTGGCGCGGTAAATGTTAGCCAGAACGAAGATGATATGGCTAAATTTTTAGTGAAAAATGGTCCGATTTCGATAGGAATCAATGCGAACGCTATGCAACTGTACATGGGTGGCGTTTCACATCCACCTAAATTTTTGTGTGATCCTGACTCCATGGATCATGGAGTGCTTATTGTTGGATACGGAGTACACAGTAAGTATTATTTATATTTAAAAAACGTTTAATATTCTAATATTTCTTAATGCAACTTCTCAGAGTACAAATTGTTCAACAAAACGCTTCCTTATTGGATAGTTAAGAACTCGTGGGGACCAAGGTGGGGCGAACAAGGATATTACCGAGTTTACAGAGGCGATGGCACCTGTGGCGTGAACAAAATGGCATCCAGTGCTATAGTTGAATAATTAGCGTTTTATATTGCTACTACCCGCTTTAGATCCTCATTCAGGGACTAGTAACCAATGATATCTTAACGATTTAACATAATTACATACACTTATACCAGTAAACAACCAAATGAAGCAGACCAGACAGTCAATTGAAATAGTTTTAAACTTGCTTTTTTTATTGAACAAATTGAATTATAGTGATACACTTACTTAACTCTAGGACAAAAAGAAGAAGAGAACGGTGATACATTTTTTATCAATTTTGAACAACGCATGCTGAGTGCCACAGTTGAATATTTCATATTAGACACAGTGCAATACTATGAACGAATACGTTTCTTCACCTACAGTCGAACAAGCCTTTTCTCTATTTACTGAAGTAGTACATGCAGTTTACATCATTACCTGTAATAATAATACTCATTTTTATGGAATGTTATGTTACTATGAAATTGTAACATGAGACTTGTAGTTGTTTTCGTTTGTTACATTAATATAGAACTTATAAAAAGAAACTCACATGTAATTGTGCTATTTGTTTAATAGGTTTGCAATTTAAGAAGAAGAGCTTTCATTGCACGCGCTTCGTAGGTAACCGTTTGCTGTCCGTTCGGTGTGTCATCTTCTTCAGTAAACGGTGATACAGCCACTGTTTTAACTCCTTTTCCATACACTGGGTTAAAACGAAATATGTTAACTAATGAATACAAATGCAGCAATAGTTGACTTACTTTCGCAACTCTCCAGGAAACTAATACACTCTTGAATAACTTCATCCCGCAAAACAATCATATGTTTTGATAAATTCTCAATCATGCTGAGAAAACAACGTTTAGTGTAGAACCATGTGTCCGTGCCCAATTTCTTGTTATACGGCTCCAAAGACTTCATAATTCGCGAGATTCCAAATTCATAATTGCCTTTAGAACAATACAAAGTGCTGGAAAACCGAGAACGTAAATTATATATCAATAAATTTAGCATTTCTTCATATTTGTCGCGGAACTTACCCAATTACCAAATTAACAATGCACAGATGAAAATATTTCTTGTCTGGCTCTTCATAGGCCAACTGATCCTCTTCTTTTTCGATTTTTCGCATCAATTCCTCAGCTTCTTCATTTTGTGATGTCATTATGTAGGAGACACATAAATTTGCTAATACAATTGCGCTGACGTTCAGAATCTAAAAAGAACAGCAGAACATTAATTATAAACTTTATAATTAAATTAAACTTAAACTTACATCATTGTAGTGTTTCTTTACAATTGGCTCGTAGAAACCGGTAGCTTCTTTGAACTTGTTCTCCTGCATGAATAGCACGTGTGCTACGTTAAGTCTCCACGTGTCATTATCATTGCAAAATTCCACGCTTTTGCGGAAAATTTTCTCCACTTGTGGATAGTTTTCCATCTCCCAGTATATTTTTGCTTGGGCCATCAGCACTGGGATATAACGATCCAAACATTCTTCGTAGTCCATGACGGTTTTCTTTACCATTTCGGTATCGTTGTTGTTGCGGTGTTCTTGAACCTGCTTGGTAAGTTTTCGTAGCACTTCAGTGTGACGATTTGCTAGATCATCCAACTTTTGATACGCTTCCGAAGGAGATGTTTGTTGTGTTATGATTGCATCCAGAAAATCATAAAGGTACTACAGTATAATAAGTTTAGTATGCTTTGTAGTAAATATTAAATTTGAAACTCACTGGAGTTAAATATTTATAAGTTAAGTGTGCATTCTCAGCAAGTATATCTGCAGCTAAATCATAACATTCATGCTGACAATACAGCAACAACAAATTTGAGAATGTCTCCGGAGGAAACGGATTCTGCTGCAATAAAAACTGTAACTTTTCAAAACCTTCAGCGGGGTTCTGATCGATATTCATTAGAGCTTGATTGTGAAGAGTCACCGCGTCCAATTCATATTCAGCACGAGGTGGCATATCAGTTAAAGCTTCTCTGGCAGCATCCACTGAAAATATTCGAAATTAATAACAAAATAATTTATAAAAATTAACGCACAATTCTTCATTTGATATTCAATAGCTGCCTTCAAATTAAATGCTTCAGTCAGAGCTGTTTCATGTAAGGTAAGAGTGTTTCCAACTGATCGCACCTCGATACCTTCAGTTTGCATCCCGACACTTAATTCAGGATGATCCCTAATTCCCCGCTCAATGATATCAGCTAAAATAAATAATTACAGAAGGTGCTTGTATATTAATTTGCACATAATTTACCACAATTTCTAAGTGCAGGACCGTATTCTTTAAGTCTATAATGGCACAAGGCAACATTGTAACTCAAAAACGGTTTAAAACCAATATTCTGTAATGAAGTCATAAACTTGCTCAAAGCCTCCTCGTAGTGGCCATCTTTATACAACAAACACCCTAAATTCACTTCTGTATCAGGATCTTCGGTACTACAAGAATCAACCAAATGTTTTGCAACTGTCAAATCTTCTTGTCCATATTTAATGGCAGCTTGTAACTTTGTCACCTACAATTTCGAATTTATTTTCACTAATGCTTAACTGAAAATTACAGTAGACCACGTCTTACCCTTGGAGCATATTCTTCATCAATGATAGTTTCTGAAACTTTATAAGCTTCATCATACAAACAAGCTTGATACAAAGATTGCGCGTAATAAATCTTATAATCATTATTATCCATAAAAAGCTGTGTCAACTGTTCGTAGTAAGTTGCGGCATTGCTAAAATCCTGAACATGAAAATAGCAATATGCCAGCAGGGATAATCCAGCTTGACAAGTATTCGATTCCGGAATGCCATGTAGAATTTTGATGGCTTCTGCATGTTGCCCTTCCTTAATCTGAAAAGTAATTTAATTAATACAAAGACACACTTTTTAATTAGTGGGTACCATGGTATAAATTGTTTTGGTAAAATCGCCATCGTTTATTACAATATTAGCAGAAAACATGATTATAAAGAAGAATCTATTTCGATTTCTGTCAGCCACAACCAGGACACTGATGTGTACATTACAGAATGATTGTTACTCTGGCAACGAAATACATACAAACTGATGTATTACGTCCATTTATACATAAATGGAAGTACAAGTTGATACATCTTTCTTGAAACTCTTCAAACTAATTCAAATTCATTTCAAAGTTTTCAAATTTTCACATTCAAAGACGCGTGCCATCGACGCGCAGCCGGCTTTGCGCATCTATTGCAATTCGCGCACAAGGTCGTCTGCCATCGACACACCGGCTTTGCGCATCTATTGTTTTTACCTGCGGGGTTCATACAACAGGCGTAGTGTTTTATTGTGAATTGTCGCATCGTAAATTCTATTCAGAGATGGCACTAGCATTAACTAAATATCATAAAATAGAATTGGATTAGTTTTGAAGACAGTTCTATTATCAACGTTTGTGTATAAACAACTTTCTTATCGCATTCGCCGTGCGAGATGCTACGCGTAAGATTCTCGTCGCGCTGTCGCATGCAGCACATTTTAGTTTAGTTCTTATCACGGGTACCGTGTCTATTGCAATTCATGCACATGGTCGCGTGCCATCGACGCGCCGCCGGCTTTGCGCATCCATTGCTTTTACCTGCCGGGTTTATGCAGCAGGTACAGAGTCTTATTGTGAACTGTTTATTGATGGATTGCAGCCAGTTTCGTGCCCGTCTCTGCCGTGTCCGGATGTATATTGTGCAACGCGTTTGTTTTTATCATATTTCTATTTTCAAAGTTTACCTTATATTCGGTCATCAATCGACGTAGTCGTAATATGCATCTGCAGTGTTTTCTTAATAAGTAATTGTGTTAAATCAAATATTTCGTTTATTGTGGGCTGTGGTCCGTCGCTAGATCAATCGAAAACCTATTCGGGCTTGAGTAAGTTACTTTTATCTGACCCTTGCGATTCTCAGCACTGAAAGTTTGTTTTCTCCCATATGTATATATAATATAATATTATCATATTGTATGAAATGTTTTTGTTCTAACTTATGTTTTCTTTTATTTACAGTAAAACTTGCCGTTCCCTTGGAATCCGATGAGCGCTGCATTGGTATATTTATATATATATATTTATACTTAAGTTATATTATATTATTGTTTTATCACATTTCACCTGCGTGTTGCAATAGCCCGCTAATTAGGGGGACCGTATATAGTTCACGTAATGGTAATATGAAAAACGGATCATATTGCGGAAAACCTTTGTGAAATGTTCAATTTTTTATCGGATTCTGATAGCGCATGAGGAGTTTTATTAATTTTAATAATTAAGACTTTACGATTCGTTCCTCATTAACAATTGAAAAATTGTAATTTTTAGCAGTTTCAGTCGCCGTTTTATACTTTTTACCTCATTAAATTAAATATTTTTATTTATTTAATTAGTTCCATCTGATAGAGAATTCTCCAATCTTTAGAAGATATTCGTTGTCGAAAATCATCGATAAAAACTATAAATTAATAATATAATAATAATTACAATAATATTATAATTAGATTAATTTTTTTTGAATAAGTATATCCTATTGATTTCTATATTTGAAGTTTCGAGTTATGTGTAAAAATTGCTATTTGTTTAGATAGGGTGGTGCATGCGCCCTCTCGTGTACGTGTGATACACGGACACTGCCACTTACGTGCGTGACCACTCACTGATACATAGGCAATCGCTCACTGCCTCATATGCATGCCACACTTTTTGAAACGTTTTGTATTTTCTGGAGGTACAATAAAGTATTCTCAGGTAGCGCCACGATGCATGTTTTAACTAAAAATATTCCTGCGAGTGAGAGTCGACGTGCACAGTGCCGGCACGCAGCCTTACTTCGTGCGGCAGATAAGAATACTCCGCCGAGTTTTCGTGTTTCTCGTTGTAAATTCGGTATATCGCGTTATATTTTATTGAACTTAGTGTTAATTGCCGTGTTTGGACATTCGGTAAATATTTATCGCGTATGTAATCTTCGGAATTCAATATTTTGTGTGTTTATTACATTTTCGCGTGGATTTCTGATCGGTTGCCGTCGGACGCCGGCCGGCTGACTTTGTGTGTGATTATAAATAATATTTTGGACTTCTGCGAATCATTTTTGACTTCTGCACAACTCGTTGACTCAGTGTGTTACCTGGTACGAATACTAATTTGAATAATAATGGAGAACAAAACGAAATTTATGTTAAACTTTGGGTTCCGTCGGAACTCATGGTCCGAAATTGTGTAACTAATGTTTTGTTTCTTCTTTATTTCAGTATCTACTCATATTTGATTTGCCGTGTTCGATACACTGGTAAGTAAAATTTTTATCATTCATAGTATCTGATTTCCTGATTTCTTGCAATTAGAAAATTGATATCTTTTGCGGAATTCTTTACTTCAATAAATGCTTCAATAACACTCAAATCATAAATCATTATTTCATTATTTAAATTTTAGTTCACTAGCATGAACTAAAAATCATAAAATCGAATTGTATTCGTTTTGAATCATATCAGCGTTTGTGTATAAACCACTTTCTTATCGCATTCGCCGTGCGAGATGCTACGCGTAAGATTCTTCGCGCTATCGCGCTGTCGCATGCAGCACATTTTAGTTTAGTTCTTATCACAGGTACCGCCTCTATTGCAATTCGTGCGCAAGGTCGCGTGGCATCAACGCGCCGCCGGCTTTGCGCATCTATTGCAATTCGCGTACAAGGTCGCGTGGCATTGACGCACTGGCTTTGCGCATCTATTGCTTTTACCTGCCGGGTTTATGCAGCAGCAGTACCGGCGTTAGGACATGGCGCGGTTGGGCGATAGCCCAGGGTCGCTGGACTTTAACGGGCGTCGACTCTTGGCACTTGGCCGGTTTTTTCGTATGGGTTTGAATTGCAGTTAGGGTGCGCCGTAGAAATCTCGCCCAGGGCGCTGGTACTGCTAAAACCGGCACTGTGCAACAGGCAGAGAGTCTTATTGTGAACTGTCGCCATCCTTGCGTGCGCAGTTTTGGCATGCTCTATTGATGGATTGCAACTAGTCTCGTGCCGGTCTCTGGCGTATCCATTCGTAGGTACATCGCGCAACGCGTTTCGTTTTATCAGACTTCAATTTTCAAAGTTTACATTATATTCGGTCATCAATCGACTTAGTCGTAATATACATCTGCAGTGTTTTTTTAATACTTGTAAGTAATTGTGCGTTTAACGTGCAAAAATATTTTTTGTTGCTTGCTTTTGATGTTTATATTTCAAATCAAATATTTCGGTTATTGTGGGACGTGGTCGGTCGCTAGATTAATCTATTCGTGCTTCAGTAAGTTACTTTTATCTGACCATTGCGATACTCCGCACAGAAAGTTGGTTTTCTCCCATGTGTGAATATAGTATTATCATATTGTATGAAATGTTTTTGTTTTAACTTATGTTTTCTTTTAATTACAGTACTTGCCGTACCCTTGCAATCCGATGAGCGCTGCATAAGTAAGTTTATAATTAAGTTATATTATTCGGTTAAATGTTTTATCACATTTTATCTGCGTGTTGCAATAGCCCGCAATATAGCCCGCGTATATATTTAATGGTAATATAGAAAACGGATCATATTGCGGAAAACCTTTGTGAAATGTCCAAACTTTTTATAGGATTCTGATAGCGCAAGATGGGTTTTGTTAATTTTTTTTGGTAATTTAGTTGAGTCACTTTCGTTATACCGTAGCAGGGTGGCGATAGAAGTGACTCGTGTTCAGAGCACCGTAAGGGGTGGCGATAGAAGTGACTCACATTCAGGGCACCGTACGAGGGCAGCGGTAGGAGCGACTCGCAAACTAACGGTAAAAGTGAATCGTGTTCGGGCACCTTACCAGCATGATTGTATATAGCTGATTCGCCCATTTTTTCTTTTGAATTAAAATTTTATCTCTTAGATTTCCAATTTAATTACCGTATTTGAAATAATATATTATTTAAAATGATTTTAAATTCTTGCTTAATAGAAAATTTCCTAATCTTTCATAATCTATAATTCGCTGATATCTATCTCTTTTTCTTCGAGTTTGGAAGATACTCACTATCAAAAATCGTCAATAAAAATTATCAAGCATTAAGACGCTGCGAACAGATCTTAAATATCTCTTTTAGTTTACGAGATATTCGCGATTGAATAAAATGGGCAAAAATTGATAAATGTCACTTTTTAGCACTTTTAGTCGCGTTTTTCGACCTCTTAGTGTAGGAAATATAATTATTTTATATTTTTATCTGATAGAGAATTTTCCAATCTTTCATAATCAACCATTCGTTGGTAGCTATCTCTTTTAGTTTAAAAGATATTAATTTTTAAAAATCGTCGAAAAAAAGTATCAAGCACCCCCCCTTGGCAATTTTTTCTTAAGACTTAAAATTTTATCTCTCAGATTTCGGTTTTAACTATCCTATCTGATAGAGATTATTCCGTAGATTAAAACGCTGCGATCAGATCTTAAATATCTCTTTTACTTTACGAGATATTCGCGATTGAATAAATTGGGAAAAATTGAAAAATGTTCTAAAGAATTAAAATTTCATCTCTGAAATTCTTGAACTTTTAATTTTCTTGTTGTATCACGCTGTATATTTGTTTTTCTTAAATTGTTATCAAAAACTGCCCAGATTTATTGTGTCCTCGTGCTTATATTCTTGAACTTTAACTATTTATATGAATTTTCGAAACACGCGGTGGAAATTTGGCGGTATCTCGCGAACCGTTCGTGCGATTTTAATGATTTTTTCAAATTGGCATTGCGCGAAAGGCATTTTATACGATGCGATATTGCCGGCCCCCGAAAATCTTGTTAGAAGTGCCTTAAAATTGCTCTGAAACTTTTACTTTTTTCATGAAATTTCGAAACACGCGGTGAAAATTTGCTTGTATCTCGGAATCCGTTGGTGCAATAGTTTGTATCCTTTTTGTAAAATTGCGTCGAAGTTGCGACTGATGTGAGACATTATATTATATTGTATTTTAGTGGACATCAGAAATGTTTCGATTTCAATTCTACGCGCCTATCGGGGTTTGCGTATAAACAACTTTTTGTATCGCGATATACGCGCGCAATTATGCGTTTACGCTACAAACGTTCGACCATTTCAGTCTGTTCTTACCTGCACGCGGCTCGGCATCTTCCTTTTATTCATTTCTATTACATTAACTACATTATTATTTAATAATTAAAAATCGGCATAAGTATCGGCATTTAATAACAATAGACGTGTATAGTGGTTTTGCGAAAGATGAGTTCACGGTTAAATGATAATAAAACTTATGCTTCATCCGTGCGTTAGTGGTCCGTCGGCTATTGGATTATTTTGATGCTGAGAATTGAAATTAGAAATTTGTATCCTATAGATAGTTTTAAGTAAGTGTAATTAACGTCTCTCTTTGGCAGGATGTCGCAAGAATATTGTCGGTTAATATAGTGCATGTTCATTATGCGACGGAACGAATTTAAATAAGTGAGCATCATAATGCGAATTCTCACACACGTGCTTTTTTTGTTTCAGTACTTTCTTTGATTATCCGATACACTGGTAAGTTTGTAAACTTTATTAAAACATAATTTATTACATTTTAATCTTAAATCACATTTAACGTGAGTATTGTAATAATTCAAAATTAACGCTTGCCGTCGGATCTTTTGGTAAATTTTCTTTTTGTAACACCCTGTATATTTGTTTCCATTTTCAATCAAATAGAAAATGAGCTATTTCCTAATCCCGATAGTACTTCGGGAAGTGCTACTTGCTTGCATGTGCGCGTTTATGCAGGTCGGGAGTCCCGTTTCAATATGGCGGCGTGTATTTTGTGCGCCGTAGAACGCGTATTACAATAAATTCGGAATAATTTTCCCAGATGCAGAATTTAATTCTGTATTTCCTTGTATTAAAATTTATTGCGGGAAAATTCCGTAATGCGAGCTATATTGAAAGTTGTGTGTGTGCGCCGTAGTACTCGTTGCGCTAGGAATTGTAGTTTTTTTACCATAACACGCGAACGCGGTATCACAATAAGTTCGGAATAATTTTCCCAGAAGCAGAATTTAATTCTGTTTCTTTCTGTTCCGAAATTTAATGCAATAAAATTTCGTAACGCGAGTTATATTGAAAGTTGTGTGTGTGCGCCGTATTACTCGTTGCGCTAGGAATTGTAGTTTTTAGTATAACACGCGAACGCGGTGTCACAATAAGTTCGGAATAATTATCCCAGATGCAGAATTTATTTCTGTTTCCCCCTGTTCTGAATTTTATTGTAAGAAAATTCCGTAACGCGAGTTATGTTGAAAGTTGTGTGTGTGCGCCGTAATACTCGTTGAGCTAGGAATCAAGGCACCGTATGAAGGTAGCGGTAGAAGTGACTTGTGTTCAGGGCACCGTATGCCGTAATGCGAGTTATATTGAAAGATGTGTGTGTGCGCTGTAGTACCCAATGCGCTAGGAATTGTAGTTTTTTTAGTATAACACACGAACGCGATGTCACAATAGGTTTGGAATAATTTTCCCAGATGCAAAATTTATTTCTGTATTTCCTTTTATTAAAATTTATTGCGGGATAATTCCGTAACGCGAGCTATATTGAAAGTTGTGTGTGTGCGTCGTAATACTCGCTGCGCTAGGAATCAGGGCACCGTATGAGGGTAGCGGTAGAAGTGACTCGTGTTCAGGGCACCGTATTCCGTAATGCGAGTTATATTGAAAGATGTGTGTGTGCGCTGTAGTACTCGATGCGTTAGAAATTGTAGTTTTTTTTAGTATAACACAACGCGATGTTGTGTGTGTGTGCCGTAGTACTCGTAGCGCTAGGAATTGTAGTTTTTTTTAGAATAAAACGCGGACGCGGTATCACAATAAGTTCGGAATAATTTTTCCAGATACAGAATTTAATTCTGTATTTTCCTGTATTGAAATTTATTGCGAGAAAATTCCGTAACGCGAGCTATATTGAAAGTTGTGTGTGTGCGCCGTACTACTCGTTGCGCTAGGAATTGTAGTTTTTTTAGAATAACACGCGAACGCGATGTCCCAATAAGTTCGGAATAATTTTCCCAGATGCAGAATTTAATTCTGTTTCTCTCTGTTCTGAAATTTATTTGCAAGAAAATTCCGTAACGCGAGTTATATTGAAAGTTGTATGTGTGCGGCGTAGTACCCGTTGCGCTAGGAATTGTAGTTTTTTTAGTATAACACGCGAACGCGCTGTCCCAATAAGTTCGAAATAATTTTCCCAGATGCAGAATTTAATTCTGTATCTCCCTGTATTGAAACTTATTGCGAGAAAATTCCGTAACGCGAGTTATATTGATAGTTGTGTGTATACACAACACTTGTACTCGTTGCGCAGTACCAGCGACTTGCACTTGGCCAGTTTTTATGTATGGGTTTGAATTGCAGTTAGGGGGCGCCGTAGAAATCTCACCCAGGGCGCTGGTAGTGCTAAAACCTGCACTGCATAAAATATAATACATAAACCATAAATATATAAAGTTTCATATTTGTTTTTATGAAATTAATATAATAACTTTTATAATTATTTATTTCAATTTTACGATGTGTAGTGTTTATAAATGTATCACTAAGGTATACAGTAAACTTTTACGAAGACTCATTCTTATTATATCCCAGAGCCAATAAATTCTTTTCGTATGCCGCGAAATATTGAAAGTAAAAGTAAATTTCTTATATGTGTATTTCAACATTGTGAATTTTTAGTTTCGTCTTCTCAACTACGTGTTTATCAGTACGTTTGTGTATAAACAACTTTTTGTTTGACCGATATCCTGGCTACCTGCCGTACCCGCACGCGCAGCGCACACGGCAGTTGTTTTACCCCGTGGTCCGCGAGCGTGTCTCTCTAATCGCCACGCGTTTTGAAGTTTTATTTGGATTAATAGTCGTGTATTCTTTCGGCCATCGGCAAAATAATCGCAATGTGCATGTGTACCTGTTTTGTTTAATGAATTATCGCGGTTAGAGTCTTCTTAAGTGAGAAATAAGTGACCGTTAATGCCTGCGGGAGTTTTCAGTTGATAGACTATATTACAGGATAGAAAATCTTCTCATCAATGCACAGGTAGGCGGATAATTAAAATTTTCGCGGAAAATTAAGGCGGTTTAACTGAGTATTCAATTTGAGGGATATTAATTTTGTAGATTACAAACACGTGGTGGCATTTTTATCAGAATTCTTCTTAGTCGCGTTTCTGAAAATTACAGGCTTGATTTAATTATTACAAGCACGGTTTTTAAAATTATCTGAGGATTATTAAAATGACAATTTTCATGCCGACCACGCTTACTTTGCCGTCGGCCGTCGGTTCGGTCATGTTTTCGATGATCACGTAAATATTTTCAATCAAATTGCATCAGTAATTTAATAATTTCTTGTTGAAATAATATCTTGAACGGTGAATAGTTTTTCGTTTTAGCAGTCTCAGTATATCTTAATATTTACAAAGAAATAGTTATTTTTATCGTCTTTAACCACTGTGTTGCTACGCACCGTCGCTTGCCGTCGGTTGATTTACGTGTAGATGTTTTCCGCCGGATATTCCATTAATTTATGATGATGCTACACCCGTCGGTTACCTTATACAGTTGATGCTACCATCAATTGATAATTATATATTCACAATATATTTAAAATGTAAGTGTTTTTTTCC